TTTTTTTAAATCGCAAAATAATTATAGGGTGGCTAATGCCAAAGAAAGGATGACTGAAGCCACCCTTAAATAGGTCTAACGACGCTTATGGTTATAGGCCTCAAAAACATTCATATTTTTCCTAAAGGGACAATGAAATTCATAAACTTGACATTGAAGTCTATGGCTATAATTCATCTCTCATCCCTCATCAATAAAGAATGCAGGATTAAACAAATACTTGTGGGGGGAAAAAAAAGTTGTGGATAAAAGTGCAACAGTGTGCAAGCATTGTGCAACACGTTTTGTTTATGCTAACAGCAACACGACCAACATGTCAGGCTAACAATCAACATATACCGAACCGAAAACCGTGAACCGAACCATGGATTTTGTGAACCGTTCCACCCCCCATATATATATATATATATATTTCCTATAAATACATAAATGGTTCAAATTAAAAATAAACATCAAAGTCAACTATTAAATCATTTAGGGCTGCAAATAACAATTATTTTGCAAATCAATTAGTCTGTTGATTATTTTTTTTTGATTAAACGATTTATAATCAGATACAGATTTTTTTTGTGCTAAATTAAACCAGATGTAACAAACCTTTCCACTTTGGGAGTTCTAGACTAAGCATATTGACATATCTAAGTCTATGTCTATATAAGACTCAAACTCACTGCGGATCCAGACATTTGAAATGAGAAAGCTTCCTGGAGAGGTGGCGAAACGTCTTCAAATCTTGGAAACCAAGTCCAGTGGATATTTTTTTGAACTTTTACGGAATGACATATCTGAAATGCAAATTTTTTACATATTTTTCTTTACAATTTTGATATAATTGCTGCTCAGGGTGGGTCGCTCGGTCCACTAAAGGAACGCTTTAGACTCTCAATGCTCCAGTTAATTATTAATTTATTACTGAATTAATGATTATTTCAATAATTGATTAATCATGATTAATAATTGCACCCCTAAAACCCACAAATTCAAACTACAGAATTAATTCATACTTGGAGTATTTTCATTGTAAAATAGGTTAAGTGATTGTAGTGCTTGTTATTGCTCTTGTGCTCTTGTGAACTGCACACTACCCTGACTTATCTTATGAATAATAATTTATTATATGATATATTATTATATTCTTCTAATATAATAAAGTAACTGTTCAGTTGTATTTGAAACATAAAGGAGCATTTATTTCTTAATTGTAATCAACACTAGAAGAAATGTGCAAACCGATGTAGGATGATCTTACATGTTGGTTTGCTTACAATTCTCTTTGGTGTTTGATAAGCAATGCAGTGTTATACATTTCCTTGGTAAATATCAAAGAACATTTTTTTTTTCCTCCTTTAACCCTCCTGAGAATAAGAAGTAAAGTAAAATCACTTTGATTCCTTTAGAATTTACTCAAAAACTCTGGTCTCATTTCGTCATTAACCATCTGTTTCCTCTTGAAGCTGGCGAAGGAAACCACGGCCCAGAATTTAAAATGTCACAGGCCACCAAACGCAAACATGTCGTAAAAGAAGTCCTCGGAGACTTCATCACTCCCACAGAGAACCAGCAGATTGTGAAGGTAAACATGTCGAAAGACAGCACTGCAAAAACAATCTGAAATTAAGTAAAATTTTCTTAAATCAAGTGTATTTACCCTTAATTTGAGCTGGTAAATAAGATAGTTTGCCAATGGGATGAGTATTTTTACACTTAAAATAAGTTAATAAGATAATATGCACTTGAAATAAGACAATGCAATTGATTTTTCTTATTTCAAATGTAAACTGTCTTGTTCCATTGGCAAAGTGTCTCATTTATCTCCTCAAATCAGGATAAAATGCACTTATTTAAAAAAAAAAAAAGACTTATTTAGATTTACATTTTTTGCAGTGAGGATGTAAAGATTTCTCATCAGGACTTTCATCCGGTGCTGATCTCCTTTTTCCAACTTCTCCTAGGTGATCGGTAGCCGTGGCAACAACCTCCATGAAACAATCACGGCTCAGGGCGAGACCTTCCTGGTGAGCATGCCCACCAAGTTCCGCAAGAACATCTGGATCAAGAGAGGTAGTTCATGGAGTTGAAGAAATGTGTTTTCAGAGATGGTTGTTGTTGTTGTTCTACTTTCAGGTGTTTTAAATATTTCCCAACAGTGGACATAATAAAGTCTCTATATTTTTATGTCTGTAAGACTTTATGTCGAAGAAGGTCGCTGCCCATTCAGCAACTTTCCAAAACGTGAAAATTTCTGAATGGAAAACAACTTTGGATAACAATTCTAGGTTCTTCAAGGTGGAAGATATTCAGGAACCAACGGACCTGCTGTGTTCCCTTAAACGTCCTCCCTCCGGTCCATAATACTGCCTCCACCGTGTTTCTCTTCGGAGATGGGATGTTTAGAGAGATTTACATGTTGGACATCATTGGAAAGCAATTAACAATTAACACAGATGTAGCAGCATGTCAAAATTTAAACAAAGCAGCCACAGCTACATACATTTGAGGGCATCCAGAAGCCGTTTTATGAATCCAATCTTCAATTGTATATACTCCATTTGTTGACAAGGGTCCACAGATTAAAAGTAATCAAGCATATTAGTAATAAACATTCCATGATGAGAAAATAGCCCGTAACGTCCGGTTGTTGACATCAGAAAGGTTAGCTGGTCATAGCTTATTCTCAGCATCTTGTAATATTTACTTCCCTATACTTATTTCTTCGGTTGTTAGCCTGCGATGTTTGGTATGGTTCTTTAAATCGTCTTCTCATCTACGAGACACAAGAGTCTGCATATTTTTATGATGCAATTTGAGCGAGATATAGTCCCGGATATCTCACTTCAGGTTCACTTCCTGTCAGCCAGTGATGTTCGATTTGATTGAAATTATTATTCTCTGCTGTTATTGGTTAAGACCGAGTGGAGTGTTGGGCTTTGTAGCCAATGAAATAAGCATTTGAACGAGCCTAAATGTGTGCAGTTTATTTAAAGGGGTACCGCATTACAGGCTTGTGTTAGAGAGAAACACAGACACCAGTAGGTGGAGTCATTGCGCGCCGCTCCAAGCTGACACCAAAAGTTCAAAACCCCACAGCTCTGGAACTGTTATAGCTAGAGGTCTGAAATGTTCTGCATTTGTGGTTGACATGATGTAGAACAAATTTAATACAATCAGACCTGCCTTTTCTCAAGAATGTCTTTATTACTGTTGTTCAAAATAGACCTATCATTTCCGAGAATAAAAAAACAACTTTGAGTCATGTTTGAATTGATGCAGCTTGGTCTGTGTTCTACTCACCCAATTTATTTAGCTTTCAAATAATGTATTGCATGTGTATTTGGGCCTACAGTTCCTAAGTTATTTGCTTTTCCATTTGGGTATGCAAAATAGGCGAGGATTACCCAAGATGAGGTGGATGTTAAGACGATCCACTGGACTTTGTTTCCAAGTTTGAAGACGTTTCGCTTCCCATCCAGGAAGCTTTTTCAATTCAAAATGTCTGAAATACCGTTGAGTTTGAGATTTTTTATAATATAATATTAAAAACCTCAAACTCAACGCTATTCATGAAATTTTGAATGAAATTAAAGATTATCCAGATATTTAAGGTCATTTAGTGGGAAAAACTAAAAATCCATTTAAAATTTAGTCTGCCTGTCAATAAAAAGCTCACATTCAGTGGATGTAGGTTTACAAACGTAGCCAAACAATGGCCGCTCACACTGAGTCTGGTTCTGCTGGAGGTTTCTTCCTGTTAAAGTGAAGTTTTTCCTCTCCACTCCAGAAGAAAACTGAATCTCATTACATCATTTTATAAAGTAAATTAGATGCTATGATTATTGACTTGATACTCAAGAAGCTTTCATTTGAACCCCAGTCGGCCTCAGCAGATGGCCGCTCACACTGAGCCTGGTTCTGCTGGAGGTTTCTTCCTGTTAAAGGGAGTTTTTCCTCTCCACTGTCGCTACAAGCATGCTTGGTGTGAGAGATTGCTGAAGAGTCGATACAATCAACTGGTTTTCCTTGGATAGAAAACTTTGACAGATCTGGTGATTTGTAAAGTGCCTTGAGGTGACTAGGGCTGGGTAAAAAAATTATTTAATCTATTTTGAATCAATTCCTTTACATTTTTACAAAATCGATGTCTAGAGAATGAGATCGATTAATTTTATAGGGACGCGCTTGACGACAAACCAGACAGCTGCAAATATAGCCAATAGGTTGATTGAAGACATTAACAAATGGGGGCTGGCCAGCAAACACCCTGTAGTTGTTACAGACAACGCTGCAAATATGGTGTGTGCAGTGAAGATAATGCAGCTCATGCATGTCTGCTGTGTCACGTCTGCTCACTCGAGTGAGGCTTCACTTTTCCACTTTTCACAAACAAGTTTGCACTAATGAGACAGTTTTGTNTGCGTTTAAATGGACACAAATAATCGGGCCTGATCAGATCAAAACCGTTCCATTCCAAAAAAAAAAGAAAAGAAAATTAACCTCTTTAAGACCAGTGGATGTTAAGTGGGATAAACTCAGGATGCATAAATATCCACCGGTAAATTTGTTACCAATATAGACATGTTGGACATCATTGGAAAGCAATTAACAATTAACACAGATGTAGCAGCATGTCAAAATTTAAACAAACAAAGCAGCCACAGCTACATACCTTTGAGGGCATCCAGAAGCCGTTTTATAAATCCAATCTTCAATTGTATATACTCCATTCGTCGACAAGGGTCCACAGATTAAAAGTAATCAAGCATATTAGTAATAAACATTCCATGATGAGAAAATAGCCCGTAACGTCCGGTTGTTGACATCAGAAAGGTTAGCTGGTCATAGCTTATTCTCAGCATCTTGTAATATTTACTTCCCTATACTTATTTCTTCGGTTGTTAGCCTGCGATGTTTGGTATGGTTCTTTAAATCGTCTTCTCATCTACGAGACACAAGAGTCTGCATATTTTTATGACGCAATTTGAGCGAGATATAGTCCCGGATATCTCACCTCCGGTTCACTTCAGGTTCCCTTCCTGTCAGCCAGTGATGTTCGATTTGATTGACATAATTATTCTCTGCTGTTATTGGTTAAGACCGAGTGGAGTGTTGGGCTTTGTAGCCAATGAAATAAGCATTTGAACGAGCCCAAATGTGTGCAGCTTATTTAAAGGGGTACCGCATTACACCAGTAGGTGGAGTCATTGCGCGCCGCTCCAAGCTGACACCAGAAGTTCCAAACCCCACAGCTCTGGAACTGTTGTAGCTAGAGGTCTGAAATGTTCTGCATTTGTGGTTGACATGATGTAGAACAAGAATTTAATACAATCAGACCTGCCTTTTCTCAAGAATGTCTTTATTACTGCTGTTCAAAATAGACCTATCATTTCTGAGTATAAAAAAACAACTTTGAGTCATGTTTGAATTGATGCAGCTTGGTCTGAGTTCTACTCACCCAATTTATTTAGCTTTCAAATAATGTATTGCATGTGTATTTGGGCCTACATTTCCTAAGTTATTTACTTTTCCATTTGGCTATAAAAATAGGCAAGGATTACCCAAGATGAGGTGGATGTTAAGTGGTCAAAACGATCCACTGGACTTTGTTTCCAAGTTTGAAGACGTTCCGCTTCCCATCCAGGAAGCTTTTTCAATTCAAAAATGTCTGAAATACCGTTGAGTTTGAGATTTTTTATAATAAAATATTAAAAACCTCAAACTCAACGCTATTCCTGACATTTTGAATGAGTAATGAGTAACAGCACTCTGCATTTGATACATGGAATAATGTGACTAAACTATGTTGAATTAAAATATATATAAACCAACAAATCTACCTGAAAAGTATATATAAACATGCCAGAGCAGCATCAAACTTACTTGGTGTCCAGAAAACGCACACAATGCAGGAAACAAGCTTTCTATTAATGTTTTCATCAGCTCCGAGTAGTCTCTTCTGAGCCGCACCTCGCATTCACTGTCCAAGCTTTGCTGACATGGTGGGGCGTTCATGTGTTCCTTGAAAATCCTAGCACACATTGATGTGCTTTCAGACAGGTGCATTGGGTTTACCTGTTTTCATTCCCCACAAGAGTATGTAACGCTAAACGAGCGAATTCAATGACGCCCCACCCACATGAAAAAACTCATCAATATGCTGAATGGTTAGTGCTTCGTTGGTGCACGTCTGTGCAGTTAAAATGACCATTTGTCCTCCTTGTCATTCAGAGAAATTAAAGATTATCCAGATACTTAAGGTCAGAGAGGACCATGTCGAGCTGAAACCAGCAAGCTGCAGGTAGAAGCTCCCTCTGGTAATATGTCAGACGTTCCACAGCTTCTGACTGAGCGGCTTTGTTGCCGGAATCGACAAATTCACTCGTCTGGTTGGAGGCTGGACTTGTCTCTCTCTGTCTTTCTACAATCTCTTTCTTCTCACCTCACCACCATAAAGGCATGATTCAACTAATAGTTCTACCAACAGATGATGAAAAGTTCTTTCCGGATGAATACAGTGAAAACACAGACGGCCACTTTAACATTCTTAGTTATTTGGTCCTAATCTGAGTTGAGGAGGAAAAAAGCTAAAATGTTGAAGATAAAAAGAAGCTTTACTCTATTTTTTGGTATTCATTGATTCATTTAAATGTATTTTTTTCTTTTGAGGTATTTCTAACCAAAGTCTTTTAGTTCAGATGCAACATTACTTAGTGTTTAAACCAACTTTAGTTGTTTTTACCTGATCATTCTTTGGGGAAATTAGCCTTTATTGGCAGATCTGCTTCACCTACTGTGTGAAAAAGGGTAGATTCTAGATGGGAACTATGATCTCAGATGCACATTAGTGGCCAGTATAAACTAATATGATGATGTAAGCTGATATTTGCCTCAATTTGAATTCAGTTCTGCTGCAATTCCTCAGGAGATTATGTGGTTGTGGATCCTATTGAAGAAGGAGAGAAGGTGAAGGCAGAGATCAGCTTCATTCTCTACAAAGATCACATTCAGGACCTGCAAAAACGGCAACTCTGGTAAGAAAAAGTCCCAAAAACCCACTTAGGAACGTACAGTGGAAGAGTCCTAAACTGTAATTGTCTCCATTAAGGCCCCAGGGTTTTATGGCGGAGCGGCCATCACTGGACAAGGCCAGCAGGAAGCAGGAGGACGAGGAGAAAGAGGAGGAAGAAGAAGGGGATTCTGAAGATGACAGTGACCTCTTTGTGAACACCAACCGCTGCAACTACCAGTACAGTGAGAGCGAAGAGGATGACAGTGAGGAAGAGGAGGAGGAGGAGGAGGAGGAAAGGACAGGAAATGGATCATAGCTGCAGCGGAACAACAAAAGTAAACCTGTGAACTGAAAAGATCCACTGACTGTTCAGCTGTCATTATTGACCGGTTAAAATTTTGCATTTGGGCAACAGCTCCCTCTGCTGGCCAGCTGGAGCTCCTTCACTGACTCTCAGATTTTCTGCTTCTGCCCAAAATCATCTAAAATGTTCAAGTGGAATTAAAATATAACCAGAATTAGCATCACATACGCTGCTCTTCGTCTTCCTAACATCAGCAACACCGACGCACAGCGAAAAAGTTATGTGATTGATACAGCTGCTGCTGCTTCGCCCGTCACCAAGGCGCCAAACGGGCTTTATAAGGTTTCACATCTTGATCTGTTAACCGGAAATAATCAAAGGCACAATTCAGCCCATCAGGGCATTTTAAAAATGGAGCGTATGAGGAAAACAGGAACGGTTGTGATCTCCTCTTCCACTTGATCTATCAGAGCCCATATAAATGTCAAAGTGATTCTGTTTGATTCATTTCTTCTAATACGTACAGGTTAAATGTCACAGTGTGATCAAACTGTCTTGTATAAATAAAAGCACCTCCTGTGCTCGGGCATTACAGAGAGAGGCGACAAACCTGGGCTCTGTTTTAGAAAGTGGGATTTATTTATTCTGAGTGGGAAAATGTGATATCTGTGAGGTACCTCAACTCTGAGCTACGTCAGCCCAGAGGTCAGGATAAGCATGAGAATAATGTGAGCCCTGATCAATGGATCACAGAACAGCCAATCCATCATGGCCACCGGGGCTTAAAGTATTAATGACGGCATATGGAGATGATCAAACACAAAAGGTTGTGAAGTGTGACCAAATTTTGTTTCACATAATTAAAAATGAAATAACATTTTATGATAAAGCAACATGAAAGTGCATTGAAACCTTAACAGCCGTCAATCAACTACTTGGGAATCCAAATAACAAAGGGCCTCTCCAAGCTGTATGACACTAATTATAGATCTTAAAAAATGCATACAAAGAAAGATGGAAGGTTCTTTTGATGGACTTACAATCTATGAATGTGTTGCCTAGAATCCTCTACTTATTTTAGTCTTTACCAGTGTCAAAACCAAGTAATTGTAGAGTGGGAGCCCAGAATAAAAGTTTTGAATCTTCAAATTGCTAAAGACGTGGGCAGACTGGTATTATCCACTTTAGAAGACTATTTCTATGCAGCGCAGCTCAAGTCTGTAATAGGTTGGTGTGATTTTGACTAAATGGCAAAATGGAAACAGAAATGGGTAATGAATAGCATGTACAATCTATGATTGCAAATAAGATCTTTAAGGAAAATTAAAAGAAATTGGACTCGATCACAAAATTCACCCTGGAGATTTTAAAATGGTAAGAAAATGTAAGATAGAGGAAGAAATTAGATTATTCAGCTGGTTGGCTTATGACACAGTTATTAAACCAGGTAGAATCAATTCTAAATTTATAGTATGGACAGCTAAAGGTTTAAATTTATATATATATATATATACATGTACAATAGATATATAGATGGATATAGATCTATCTAGATATATCTACATCTCTCTATATATATAGATATATATATACCTTGTGAAACTTATTCCCACAACAGAAAGCTTGTTGTTCCAGCCAAATGCTACACACATCGGCATGTTTACGCTGCTACTCCGTGAGAGTACCAAGATGGCGGCAAGTGACTTCAGTTTTATGAATTCAGATTCATATATATATAAATAGAGATTAGAGTTTTAACAGTTCAATATTCTAATGACAGCAGGGGGAAAAGCTGTTGAAGTGTGCTTTGAAGCCTCTACCCAGAGGGCAGCAGGGAGAACAGTTCATGGTGGGGGTTATGGGCTTGGGACATGGAGCGCTGGGTTGAAATGTCTTTAATGGAGGGAAGAAAAGCCCCGATGATCTTTCTGCTCTTCTCACTACTCTTCTCACCGTCTTCCAGTCTGAGGCGCTGCAGCCTCCACACCACACAGTTAGACAGCTGTTCAGAACGCTCTCTATGGTGCTTCTGTAGGAGGTGGTGTGGATGGGTGGGGGCAGGTGGGCTCTCCTCATCCTCTGCAAGAAGTTCATGCGCTTCTGTGCCCTTTCGATCAGTGAGGTGGTGTTTACATTCCAGGTGAGGGTGTCTGTGATGTGCACCCCCAGGAATTTGGTGCTGCTGACCACCTCTACAGCTCAGCTGTTGGTGAGCAGTGGAGGTCAGAGTCCACGATGATCTCCATCTTTTCCACGTTCAGGATCAGGAAGACGCTCCAACACTAATTTTGTAAGACTTCATGCTGCATATGCAATATGATGTGCCAGCATGAAACAGCATGCGTGTGTCAAATTGATGAACTTATCTTTATAAATTATTCTATTCTATTCTATTACTCTTATACCCCCCTGAAAATGAGAAAATCATTGTCTGATGCTGTAGCACACATCTTGTTTACATTCCAACCTGTCTAACTCACTGATCTCTATTTATCAGTAGTCTAACAAGGGAGTACCAATATGGCGGCTGGTACTACCAATGACTTATCAGCTATCCTGTGAATAATTAAGCTGATTAACAATCTAAAGGGTTGTTAGTCAGCTGAAGAACCCGAGGGTTCTGGTGAAAGAACAGCTGGTGAACTGTGGTGCATTGGACAAACAAGACCTGTATCCCCTCATTCATCCATCTGGCTGCTGATACTTGGACTCTACTATCAGTTGAATGTGGTCGTTGGGTTCAGTTTCAGCTGTTTAAAACCATTGACCCCAGCGGTGCTAATCCTGACCCAGCTGCACTATTTGGTTTGACTGAAATGTTCCTTCTCAGCATCTAAACCTGCTACAATCTGTACAACTTATTCCCATTTGATCACAGTTCTGTCGTAAAGAGTAATGCTTCTGTAAACATCAGCAACAATTCAAGAGATAATAACTCAACGTCCCATCAGATAGGCTAAATGCCTTCATGACGTCCTGCAGTATTTCTTAATGATGCAGAGGATTCCAAACGCCAGTCGATCCAGTTCATCCACCCCTGTGATTAACGCTTTCAGCTGACATTACAACCTCAGACACAAGAGTTGTTTGACCAGATTCAACACACGGCCAAAGGATCTCTGCTAAAGGTCTTGCTTTAGAACAGATACTGCCCCCATCATAAAGCATCAGGTTTTACCTTGAGATACAGTTCTTGTTTGTATATCACCTATTTTTCGGTGTTTTTAATTTTCTTTCTGATTAAGCCTGATAAACCTTGGTTGTACTTTCAGAAGCAGCAGTGTTATTAATATGGTTATTATGACTCACAGCCTCCAACAAAACAAAGTCTGTTATTACCACAGGAATTTATTTTTTTATATTGAGTTCAAAGCCAGATATTTCTCGACACTGAACTCTTAATTGTCAGCTAAAGATTCAATACTAACTTCTTTAACAATGTTTTAGGAACTAGAGCCCTGTATTTGTGTTATTAGGAAGACAGGAAATAGAACTGAAGATAGGGTGAAGACCTGCGACAAAGGTCACCAGGCCCGAACTCCAGCCAGTGACAACTGCATTGAGAACTAAAATCTCCATACCTGGGTTTAACCCCTGTGCCACTGCTGTACTACAAGAGCGGTTTCAGCTATTTATTAGAATTCTGTTGTTAATTGCTTGAAGATTATAATCTGTAATTCCTAGATTTTATCCATGTCTGGTCATTCTGTTCTGAGGTAAAGATTCTTGTGATGAAAGAAGGCCCTTTACCTTTTTTCTCAAAAATTATGTATTGTATTGTATTAAAAAGATGAGTAAATGTCCTTTCCCACTGAAAAAATAGTGCACAACTATGCTCAATACAAAGCTTTCGCTACAACAATAAATAGCTCTGAATAACTCTTGTTGGAAACACCGTTATGGTTTTCCCCCGGGTCCGTTAATTCAAATGCAGGTCAACTGAGATGGAGTGTTATAAAAAAATTCTGGACAACGAAGCTTTGATTCACCGTAGCAAAGGGAGAGACCAGCAGCAGCAGCATCTGCAAACAGCATCTCTGACCCCCCCACCTGCAACTCCGGCTCTTTTTATTATCTTAATAGGGGAAAATTTTACAGTTTCACACAGACAGTCCCACAGAGTGATCATACTCCCTACATTCCTATCTCCATGTATGGAGTTGCTTGCTGCCTTTCTGCTCCCCTGTTAATCAGCTTTTTGTGTGTGTGTGTGTGTGTGTGTGTGTGTGTGTGTGTGTGTGTGTGTGTGTGTGTGTGTGTGTGTGTGTGTGTGTGTGTGTGTGTGTGTGTGTGTGTGTGTGTGTGTGTGTGTGTGTGTGTGTGTGTGTGCGCGAGCAAGGTCATCCTGCCTTTCACCTGCACTTGATGTTTTGTACGCTCTGTTCTGTAAATCTGCCCTGATACATATTAACAGTAAATTTTGCTACAGCTTTAACTTTTAGCTCTTTGCTTCTTTTAGCTTAAACATGTATATATATCTTCAATTCCCCATTTTGAACTTTCTTAAGAGTTCACCCACTAATAGTAAATCTAACACATGTTAAAACAGTATCTATAATGAATGTTAAAAATCAGTAAAAATAGCAAAAGTTAAAAAGCAGTGAATTAAACATCCATTATTTCACTCTGATGTGTCACCCCCTTTAAAAGGTGACGTTTTCAATGTTGCCTTTAAACAAACCCATTAATGTCTGCTCATGACCAGGATGTCAATCATAGAAGAAAACTTTAAGCGCTGTTTCTTTCAACATCATAGAATCATGGAATAAACAATCAACAGTCCCCATGGAGATGTATCATTAATCAGAGATCAAAAGTAATCACAATCAAAACTTCAGACCAAATGTTGTCACTCAAGTCCACAGTTTCAGCATTTAACTACAATTTGGGTTTAATCTAATTAAAGGAAAGCTATTTTAGTTTCCTATGCACACATTATTTTAATTTACCTTAGACTAGGTAATCTAAGTCTATAAATCTAATCAGGCCAAATTCATCTACTCTCACTCCCACCTGGAGGCCTCCTAAATGTGACCACTCACCATGGATAAACCATCAATTCCAATTTTACCAATCATTCAATCACAGTAGGGGACGTCACAGGACAGGCCGGGCCGTTCTCCACCGGAAAACCCTACCTCCTCTAAAAGGTAGTAAAAATGCGGGGTGACCCCAGGGAAATCCCACTCTCAGCCAATCTGAGCACGAAACCCCGTTTTGAATCTGACAATTATCATTACCAACTAATTAAAGAACCTTTAAGCCAATCAGGTTCTGAGTCTTTCTACATCAAAGCAAAGCTGGCATAAAACTTGATCTCGGTGGGTCTGGAGCAAAATGTTTCCATGTTTTTCATCAAAACAAAATAAAAATAAATCAAAATTTTAAAACATTAAATATTTCAGATCATACAGCTCATAATATCAGTAACACAGCATACATTTTTCAACAAAACACAGTTCTGCATCGCTCACATTCACACAGTTAGAAATAGCTGGATCTTCACTCTACACAAGCTCCGTAGGATTTGCTTTTGATGTTCGTATACATGTATTTACTGCATGTCCATGTGATACCCCCGTTTTTGTTGGTTGGTCTCTTGTGAGTTTTTCTTTCTCTCTCTCCTTGTGTCTCTTTCCTTCCCCCTTAGTTCTTGGTCTCTCTCATTTATTCCCCTACCTTTCTGCCTTTGTGTTTACTGCATATGAATTTTACTCATACCTACTTCTGATAAAGTTTCATACATAAATACCATGCATGAGAGTTTTGGGACTGGAAATGGGGGTTAAAGGGTTTTTCTATAAACTAGCCGACAGGTACACCTCACATTTTACCTGAGCTGCTATGGCGTCTATCTGTTCAGACAAACTAACCAGGCTGCTCCTAACAAAAGTTATTTAACACAAGAGAACAATAGAAATTACTGCATGGATCCTGATAAGAATAGACTGTTCATGCAATAGAGAAAAGATTGACCAAATCCAGTGTTTAAAATATTGAATACAAACCTCTTCAGACTGTAGCCATCAGCTAGAGGAATAAAAAAAAAAAACATACAACACAGGATGAGGCTTCATTATGCATTTGCTTTCCACTGCACAAAACGCTGTATAATTTTCAATGTAAAAAAAAATCCATAAAAGCAATATTTTAAAAATAAACTACGATAAAGAAGAAGGTTCAGAGCATGACCTGGGTGGCAGTGATTCAAATCAAAGGCCATAGATACAGAAAACAAATTGTTGGTTTGAGGAATTGGTTTTCCTTTGAAAATGTGTTAAGCAATGGGAGTGTTTCGGTTTGCTAAACAGGTGTGTACATTTCTAAGAAAAACTCATTCCTTCTGATGAAGAAGCTCCGTTGTACTCTGGTGCAAAGTTGTTTTCCACTAGTTGTACAAACAGCAGGGATTAGGCAAAGCACGAAAGGGAGAAACATTTGCTAAACCATCATTATCTGCATCGGAAAAGTGATTCAAACCGCAGGGAGTCTGACAGGTCTTAAGGAATGTTACGACATCTTAAAAAACCTGAGAGAAAGAAAAGACCGCTGACTGTGGTTGGCAGAAAGTTGCATGACCACACAACAAACGTGTCCAAAGTTTATCAGCTTTTTTTTTTTTTTGAGGAATTTTAAAAGCTCTGAAATGAAATTCTAATCTCATTCAAACTCAGGTTTGGGTATTAACTAGTTAGTTTAACTCAGTTGAGTAAAGTTTTTATGGAAATGTTCTTTTAGGAGTAATCTTACTGCACTCTACTTTCTACTCTCGAGTAATATTTCCATAAAACATTAATACTCTTACTTGAATTGTTTTGGCTCTTCTTATCATGAGTAACTTCACTGAATGAAGCAGTAGCACATATTAACCAAGACGGAATGCACCAAATTGGAACATACAGTAAAAGTTCTCCAAAATAAGTGTTTTGTTTTATAAACAAGCTTGTTGTCTTAATGTTTCTTCCATCTGCTAAACCTTCTATGACATATAGAGGTCATGGTTATATACAGTGAAAAATATATTTTTTACCTTTTTCTAACCTACACAAAATACTGTAATTAATACTAATTAATATTAATACTAATTAATACTTAATACTATTTATTCATTTTGCAGGTTTTATGTTCAAAGAATTGGACTTATTACTCAATTTATTAATTTCCACTTGGGTTTAGATTTGTATTGATTATTTCTCTATTGTTATGCTGCTATAGGCTTAGACTGCTGGAGGACATAGAGTTCCCTTTTCATCACTCAGCTTCTTTCTCTCTCTATTCTCCGATTCTGAAGAATCTGTTACTTCAATCTCTAACTTTATTGTGTGTTCCTTATTCTCCTCTTGCTCAGTCACTCTTTGCTGGCTTGTCGTCATTACATTGTCCCCTTCTTGTTGTGAGTATTCCCGGTTTTCAGCATTTTTGTATTTGTGTGGATTTATGTTTTTGATTTTTGCTTTTGTTGAACTTTTGGTTAATTATAACCTTCAAGTAACAACCTTAAACTTTTGTGTCTGCATTTGGGTCCTGTCAAACCACCCCCACTGTGATACAGTCTTGTCCCATCAACGAAAACTCACACCCATGACTCGTCACGCTTTTGGTCCAGCTTGTCTTCTTGTTATCGTCATGAAAAAAAGGAGTGTCAACGAAATCATTTCGTCATCATATACAGAAACAACACTGCTCTGAGCTGTTCTGCCTGGCTGTGTGTTTCTGCCTGTGGAGCTGGTTAAGAGTTACCTTTTGTATCTCTGCTTCTGTCTCCTTGAACCCCAGTCGGCCTCACCAGATCACCGCTCACACTGGGCCTGGTTCTACTGGAGGATTATTCCTCTCAAAGGGGAGTCACTACAAGTATGCTTGATTTGAGGGATTGCTGTCGAGTCAATGAGTCGAGGCAATTAGCTGGTTTTCCTAGATAGAAAACGTTAAACCAATCTGACTGTATTATCTGGTTGAAATCTCTGTAAAGTGCTTTGAGATGAGCTGTGTTGTGAATTGGCAATATATAGATAGATTTAATTGAATTTAAATATTTCATTTTTCTTTTTAGAACACCATAGTTTGCAAAAAAAGAAGAAAATGAATCTCATTACATCATTTTATAAAGTAAATTAGATGCCATGATTATTTACTTGATACTCAAGAAGCTTTCTTCTGAACCCCAGTCGACCTCAGCAGATGGCCGCTCACACTGGGCCTGGTTCTACTGGAGGTTTCTTCCTGTTAAAAGGGAGTTTTTCCTCTCCACTGTCACTATAAGCATGCTTAGTGTGAGGGATTGCATTCGAGTCAATGAGTCGATGCAATCAACTGCTTTTCCTTAGATAGAAAACTTTGAACCAATTTGACTGTATGATCTGGTGAACTGTAAAGTGCCTTGAGATGACATGTGTTGTGAATTGGCGCTATAGAAATAAACTGAATTTAATTGAATTCTTACTAATTACCTTTCTTACGCTTGAATGAATCCCCGGAAAGATTTTTACTTTTACTCACGTACAGTAAAAACTTGTAAAAACTTGTTACTCAGTGTCATTTTTTTGGGGTACTCTACCCATTTTTATTCAAGTCACATAAAACATTGTCACGCTGAATGGAATCCATGATTTGAAAAGAAAGAAATATGATTCAACATAGATTCATGAACTAAGAACCTTTCAATTAAAGAGGATCAGAGTCATTAGATCTAGATAAATAGATGTAGATTCTGTTCTGTAAGGAATCCAACAGTCCTCACACATTAGCTGGAATGACCAACAGAGAGTAAAGGTGTTTAAAAGATTTAGCAGCATTAACAATACTTCATGTCTGTCAGTAAAACACTTTTGTGTTGCATCAGTGGCACATATTGAACAATTACCAGGGTCTTAAAGATTTTACATCGTAGTTCTTTGAGTTCTGAAGACTCAACATAACTGTTTATTTTTCAGGTTGCTTTAACAGGTAGAGTCCTGGGCTACGTCTAAGCACTCGGTGGTGGTGTGGTTTTCAACGTTTTCTTCTTGTCGGCCCTCAGAGGCACATCCTGACATTGTTCCCTCGTGCTCCTAATGTCGGCCCAAAGCTCCACTACCTCTCTGGGGCTTCGCTTGTGGACCAGAAGGATGCTGTGGTAAGAACATGGCTCTGCCTCTTCCTTCTCAGTGAAGTCAAAGGTGAGGAAGGCGGGGTGGTGGACTGGATGGGCATTGAGGCGAATCATGCACATTCCCACATAGACGTCATCGATGGGGAAAAGGTGGATTGTTTTAGATATGTTGTGCAGGCGTCGAGCCAGCCCCCCAGAGTACACCACCCCTCCTCCACCTGCATATACGGGATAGCGCCCCCTGTAGAAGCCTTCTGGGATGAAATACTTGGATCGCTTCACTCGATTGGGTGTAGCAGACCCTATGACGTCCCCAACCATGAATTCATCCATGGTGCCGCGTGTTTGATGCTGCTTCAGCTGATGCTTGAGGAAGGTGATGAGCTTCGGGGTGTTGACGAAGACGTCGTCGTCCCCTTTGAAAACAAAGAGAGGCTGAGTGCAGCGGTGAGAGAACCAGCTCCAGAAAAGCACGTCCTTCAGAGTCAGGTTGAAAAATGTGTCCTGGAAGTCCCACTGCAGAATGTCTCCATGGCGTTTACTTTCTGCTCTTAGTAAATGGGAGACGTCCATACCCAGCTCCTCTGGGGTTTCCTTGCCAAACAAGAACACCCTGCGGATGTACGCTCCACCTACTTCTCCATCACTGCCGTTAATCCTCCATCCCTCCACCCATCCGATGCGGCCCCAGGTCTGTCGGATAGCATGTCGGTTCTTAAAGTTTAGGACTGTTGACTTGATTGCAAAAAGAATCAGAGGGGGCTCCTTCTCCTGCTTCGATTGAGCTCCACACTCTCCATCTGGATGAAGGAGAACAGGATAGTCCCTCCTTTGCATGTATCTTGCAAATTCTCTAATCTGCTTTGGTAGCTTCTCAAAAGTGTCTCTCACGCGGTCCATAGCAGTAACCTTGTTGTAGCTTTGGTGAAGCAAGGACTCATCCAAGCTGCTTCGTTCTAGCAATGTGTTGGATTTCTCAGGGTGCAGGAGGGGGTTGAAAAGGTGGTCAACGCTCCGTTGGAGCTGGTTCCATAAGGCGTCACTTTCCTGATGGTTTTCCCAGAATGTTTTAGGGACAGAGGGGCCCGTGTAATTTCTGAAAGAACCCAAAGCTTTAAAATGAGGGCTTGCCAGATTGGAGGAAACTTTGGACAACATGGAGTTCATTTGTAGAGAAATCGTTAAGGCAGCATAGATGTAGAGGAAGGTCAGGAAGCAGCATGGTGTACACATGCAGATCAAGATGTTTTTCAGGCGACAGCAGCGACGTGCCATCCAGCTGAAAATGCAGAAGAAGTTTTAGTTTGGAGAAATCCTAGATTACTCAACTCTTTGGAGCCAGTAGCTGCTCCATGTTTCGGTCGACTTAGGAGGCATCATGATAATAAAGATGAACAGAAGTCCTACATTGTCTGACCCATTCTATACCACTTCAATGCCTTCCAGGTATTCATAAACCTATTTCATATATTTCTACATCACAGCTACAAACATCAGAGTATTTCCTTTTTTCTCCCCCATTTTTTTTTTCTTTGGCAAACAGCTCAGAGGTCTGTGAACATGAATTTTTACAATTCTGCCACAGACTCTTAACTATACTTAGGTCAGGACTTTGACTAGACCATTCTAACATATGAATCTTATTGATCCAAACTGTTCCCCTGAAGCTCTGGTTGTATATTTATGATTATTGTTCTGCTGGGATGTGAAGAACCAACCTGGTCTCAGGTAGAGGTGAGTATTGGCATGAGTGTTGCGATTTGATACATGTCGCGATACTTGGGTCAC